CCCGCCCCGCAGGCCCCCGCTCTCCCCGCCTCTGCTACGCCCAGGAGTGAGAGGGAAAACGTGACCGACGGGACCCCAAACACGCAGCACCTCGAAATTCAAGGGGCGGCTGAGTGCAGAGGATTTGGGGGCAGTGAAACGGCCTGTGTGATTGTCATGGTGGATACATGTCACCACAGGTCTGTGCGACCACAGAACGCACAGCACTGAGGGGCCCTAAGGTAAAGGGGTCCCTGGGCGATGAGGTGTCGGCTGTGGGTGCTGCCTGTGCATGGGGCGGGGGCACATGGGAAATCTCTGCCTGCCCTCGGTTTTGCTGCAAACTTAAAACTACTTGGAAAAACAAAGTCTGGTTTTTTTTAAAGAAAGGTCAGTGCGGTCCAGAACTCCGTGCTGACTTCCCCGTGTTATCTCTGCAAACCCGTGGCCTGCCCGGTCTGGAGAAAGGGGGAGCAGCAGGGGGGCTCCGGATGCAGGGGGCACATGGGGGGGTAGGCAGGCCCTGAGACAGGGGAACTCCTCAGATGGCCAGAGGGAGCGGGGTGAAGCCCCTCACCCCCAAATGCCACATCTGCCCAGGCATGGCTGTGCTTGCTCAGCTCAGTGGCCAGCAGCCTGGTGGCCACCAAGGAGCCAGGATGAGCCCACTCCGCCTCCCCCCGGACACCTATAGGCTTAGCGCCCCCAGGGGACCCTCTCACACCTCCCAGCCAGGGACTTGGAGGGGTGTGGGGAAAGGCTGGCAAGGAAAGGCCAGGGCCTTGACTGACCATTGAGGCACCCTTGTCTCTCTCTGAGCCTGTTTCCCCATGTGGCACCCAAGGGCCCTGGGGCCCTGCCTCCTCCAGTGAGCCTGCCTGGATTGTTCGGCCCTATTTCCCACCCACCCATTGAGGCTTGGCACAGGCAAGCTGGCGACAACCTGTGGGAAAGCTGGGGGTGAGCAGTGGGTGACCTGGGTGCACCCACGAGCTGGAAGTGTGCCAGGCAGACCCTGGACACCTGGCTCAAGCCCCTCTCAGACCTGCACGGGGCAGCTGTTCCTTTTCTGAGAGAAATGACAGGAATTAGCAGTTGGTGACTCAAGTCCTGTTCTTGAGCCCCGGCTGCCAGAGGCTCGGAGGGTCAGGCAGGAACAGTGGGGCTGGGTGCCCTGAGGGCTCTGTTCAGTTCCTGGTGAGGAGGTGGGCCTGAGACAGGTAAAGGTGCCTTGAGTGGAGACCACGGCAGGTGTGGACCCTCTGCCACTGTTCATCCTAAAGGCATGAGAGGTCAGGCCTGTGCCAGCATGAGGTCGCCCAGTGTAAGCGCCCAACGTGCTGTGGGCCAGGAAAATATGACGAACACCCTCCAGTGACGCTCATACCACGCCGTGCGTCCCTCGGAACTTGTACAAGCAGGGCTGGTTAGAACCTTCCGGAAGTAGCTTGTGGGGAGGTGAGGGTGGCAGGGGAGGCCTGTCTGGGAAGGGGAAGCTGTCGCTGGAGAGGGATAGAGCTCTGTTCTCTGTGACACCAGCAGACTCACAGAACCAAAGGGCCAGGCCACATGACCGCGAGACCTTTACGAGGCGAGAGTGGCAGACAAGGGCTCCGTGCCCAGCTGCCTCCCTGGGGAAGCCCCTCGGGCTTTCTGCGATGGGACTGTTATCTGCGCTGTCATCTGCTGGTCTGTACTTTCCAGTGTTTCATGAGCAGCTTGTGCTTCACATCATTTATTTTGGCTCACACAGCAGTGTGAGGGTTCCACAGGGGGGCTGGCACCCCGTGGGGCTGGATGGGGAGCCAGGCGGGGGCCCCGGCCAGGCCGGTATGGGAAGGGTGGGTGCCTGTGCGCCTGGGGGCCAGGGGGATGCGGTCTGACACCCAGGCCTGGGACTCAGGCGCAGCCTGGAGTGGAGAAAGTCTGGGTGTTCCACAGGGGCACGGGGCAAGGGCCACCTGGAAGCAGAGAGGTGATGACCGCCCTCCGTCATGCATCTGCCCCAGGGCAGGGACCGAGCGGCCAGGCTGGGCACCAGGGGCTCCCGACTGGGGCAAGAGCATCAGGGTTTGGGGAGGAAACCCTTCCGCACGACCTCCAGCCCTTCAAGCCCCCTCCCCCACGGCCCCTCCAGGTCCCACAGCGTCCTGCTGCCCTGGGGACCACTGAGGGCCACGTACCCACGTCAGAAGCGCACCGTTTAGTCTGCTGTGGGGACTCAGCCCGGCCTGCTGACTGAAGGGCAGTGGCTCCTTTCCCTTTGCAGCAGCGGGCTCCAGGGAGCGGGGTGAGAGGACAGGGGGGCTGGACGGCCTTTGGGGCGACCTTGCGAGGAACACTGGACAGATCGGGGTGTCCTGGGGCTCCACCGAAATCAGGGCCAAGTCTTCCTGGCTGCAGGCACGTCGCTTGGGTGCCGGAGGCTGCAGCGCACCCAGCAGGAGGCGGGCACGGAACTCGGCCAGTGAGCATCATTAGCCTGGCCCCCAGGGAGCGAGGGGGCAAAGGGCAGGGAGCCCGGTGAAACCCCTTCCTCCTGGCAGTGTTTTGATTTCTAGGAGCTCTCAAGTGTGTGACAGGCACCGCGGGCGGGCCCTCACCCGTGCAGTCTGTCCTGGCTTGTGGTTTTGCTCACCCTGGGGTGTTGCACCCTAGGGCTGCCTGCACACCGTGATGTGTCCGTCCACCCATGGATGTTTGGGTTCCCACCTTGGGACCTGCCTGGTCACACCCCACCTGGAACCTCCAGTTTCCCAAAGTGGCGTCTATGCCCCACCTGCAGGACTTGGGAGAGGGGCCGCCCAGCTGGAGGGTACCAGGTGGCCTCGGGGACTCGGAGGCCCTGCAGGCCTGGGGCGTCCCGGTCACCTCACTCAGGCCTGGCAGGCACGGGGTTTGAGCGACTGAGGAAAAGGAGAAACGACACCTGTGCTCTCTCCTCAGAGGGGCACAGAGACGGGGTGACCTCAGCACTCGCCCTGGGCCCAGGTCCTCGTTGTGCAGCCCGCGCCCCCGGTTCAGGGTGTTGTTGCCGTCCAATCCCCCAGGACATGTTTGGGCCTCTACGTCCCCCTACAGGTCCTGGGGTACGCCCGGAGAAGTGGGGGGACAGTGCCCAGGATCTGAGCGGTCCCCTGGAGCCCGTGTCCCACACCCCCAGGTCCCCGTCTCCCCGTGCGTGTGTAGCCCTCAGCACCCTGGCGCCCAGTCAGAGACCATGCTTGCCAACGTTGTTTATTGGGGCTCCACCCTGGGTGGGGAGTATGCATGGCATACGTAGATGAGTCCGGGTGCCAGCCCAGGAACACCTAAAACGGTGCAGGCCAAGGAGACAGGGCGAAGGGGCGATGGCGGCCTGCGCCTGGGGCACCCTTTACCCAGTGAGGGCCAGCCTGGGGCAGGGTGCCCGCTCCGAGCCCAGCAGATGCCGGTCAGATCTTGGCCAGGGCTGAGTTGGCATCGGCGTGCTCCTCCTGGATTGGGGTCCGACAGCTGCTTCCCCCTGGGGAGGAGGAAGGAGTCAGAGGTGGGAGGTGAGCAGGGCTCAGCCTTCGGCTGAGGGGGTCAGGCTAGGCACAGCAGACACTTGCCAGGGGGGTTGGGGGGGCAGCAGACACTCGCCAGGGGCTTGGGGGGCAGCGGACACTCACCGGGGGGCTTGGTAGGGGGCAGCAGCCTCCAGGCCCGGCAGTGCAGCAGCAGGATGAGCGCGGCGGCTGCAGGGGCCAGCAGGCCCAGGCCCAGGCCCACGCCCAGGACGGCGGCCAGCTCGGGGCCTGCAAGGAGGGGGCCTGCAGTGAGCTCCATCAGGGCAGGGGGCCCTGAGGCCAGAAGGCATCTCCACCTCTGCCTCCCTCCCCACCCCCTCCCCGTTTTGGTTGGGCGGCCCTGCTGAGGCGAGGACAAACCCCCTTACACTTCGGGGGCTCCGTGGGGTGTGTAGAGGGCTCCTGTGAGGTCCCAGGCCAGGCAGTGGTGGGCTGAGCAGTGGGGGGCTGGGCTGGGGGGCCCTGGGTCTCCCTGGGCAGAGCGGCAGTGGGGCTCCTGTCCTCACAGACGGCGTCCGAGCTGCTGCTGGCAGCTCGCAGTGAGCGCTTCCCCGCTAAGGTGCAGCTGGGGAACAGGGGGTACTTAGCAGGCAAGGCCCCCCTGACACCCCGCATCAGTCAGATGGGCCCAGAACCGGGATAGGTGTGGGGAGATGTGGGGGAGACGGGGGTCCGTGCTGGGCTATCTCAGGCAGCATCAGACTAGAACGAAGGTGGCTGAGGAGAAGGCCAGGGCCCCGCCAGCCCCCCGACCTTGGCCCTACCCCAGGGTGCCCAAGGCTGCTGCTCATCCCCAACCCCCCTCACTCTGGCTCTTCATCTCTCCCATCCGAGCCTTCACCCCTGAACCCCCGCCCCACCAGGCAAGCCCCCCAGGACTGAGGGCCTCACACACTCCCAGTCCCGGGCCACAGTCTCACAGGCGCCCCACTTTGGCCTGCTAGGAAGGCTGGAAGGAGGAGGCTGGGCCAGGGCTGAGCAGGGGCCAGGGCCGTCGTGGGGGCCCAGGCCCAGGAGACACCCCAGCCACCAGCCTCCTGCTTCCAGATCCGGCCCCCGGTTCCCAGGCCCCAGCCGCCTCAGCCGCCCGGCCTCTGGGACACTCACTTGGTCCAGGGCTTGCAGGCCTGGTTGTTGCCTGGGGAAAAGTGTCCTGGTGGGCACGGGGCACAGTCTGCAGCGAGACAGCAGGGCAGGCTCAGCCCGTCTGCCGCCGGCGACGCCGTGCCGGGGGGTTGGGGGCTGGTTCTCACCCCCATGGCCTCCAGAAGCCCCTCCCGGCCCGCAGGTCACCCAGGCCTCAACCCAGAGCCCCATGCCCACAGCTACGCGTGGCCTGTTAGGGGAAGGGTGCCTGGCCAGGCCTGGAAAGGGTACTAGGGAGGAGGTGACAGCATGTGGTGTGGGGGACGTGCTCTTTCCAGGGTCCCTCAGGCGCCCGCAGGCACCTGGACCTGACCCCGCTCACCAGATCCATGCTTGAAGCCGTCTTGGGGCTGGGTGCCGGGCCGGCAGCGGCAGATGGTGTCCTGCTTGGCTGTGCACATCTGCTTGGTCTCACTCCCACTTCCTGGGGGGCACAGTCAGCGCGCTGGAGGACGGGGCTGAGGGCCCAAAGCGACTTCCCCCAGGCCAGCAGCCCCCTCAACGCCTGGGCAGCCCTGGTCCTGGTTCTTCCCAATCCCCAGGCACCGTGTCCCTCCCGGTCACACCCCAGGGACAGGCCTTGGCCTCCTTTCCCACCCTCCCTTCAGCCTGTGGCAGGACCCTCAGCTCCTTGGCCTGACAGGCCACGTGGCCAACATGTGCTCCACCCAACTCCACGTGCTCTGGGGCCCCCGGAGACCCCCAGTGGAGCAAGCCCCACTGTGGTTTGGGGTGAGTCCTGTGGCGGGGCCCGCGAGCCTCCATGGAGCTGGGTGCCGTGCGGGCGGGGCCGGCACTCACGCTGGTTGCACTGGGTGCAAGGCCTGCAGCTGTCATAGTTCTGGTACTCGTTGTAGAAGCCGGGCTTGCACGGGACGCACAAGGTGTCCTGGAGGTCCGTGCAGCGGCTCTCCATCCCGTAACCTGCAGGGAGGGGTGGAGGGGCTCCGTGAGGCCTGGCTCCAGGTCACCCACAACCCTGGGGTGTCGCCCACCCTGTCACCCTGAGCCCACTTGTCCCGCAACACCCACAACCTTCACCCCACCTGCGTGTCCCTGTGTCCCCATTCCCACACCCCCCCGTCCCCGCCGGCACCCTCCCCTACTCCATGGCCAGGCCACTCACCTGGCTGGCACTCGCGGCAGCACCTGTCGCCGTGGGGGTAGCTGTGCTCGGAGCATCTGAGCTGGGCCGCGGTGCCCAGCACGAATCCCAGGAACAGGAGGGCTGAGCGGGGCACCCTGGGCCGCGGAGCACCCACACACATCCTCGCCTCGCAGGTGGTGCAGGAGTCTGGGGTTTTTCCTTGCAGGATGTGGCTATAAGGGCTGCGGAGGAGGGGTGGGGAGGGCGGGAAGAGGAGGGGACTACAGCGTTAGACCTGGTCCCAGTCGGTACCCACAGCCCCCGACCCCCGCCGGGGCCAGGCCAGGCCTCCCACATGAGGCTCCCTGCCCCCCGCCCTCCGCCCCCCATCCCGGGTCCAGGGAGCACTTGGTGTCCTCTGACGTGGACCTGGGCAGTCCCGGGACAGTGCAGGAGGGCCTGTGTGCTAGGGCCGCTATGGTGTGCACAGGGGCAAAGGACACAGGCACCTGTACACGCGTGTGCACATGGCACACACGTCTGGTATCGCTGGGTGCCGGGGGCTTTTGTGACTTTTAAATCTTGCCCCTGATGCAGTGTTACCTAGTCAACAACTGCCTGAAGGAGTCTGCGGAGGACCAGCAGCGCTGGGAAGTCCCCTCCCCCAGGAGGGCAGGTAAGGCAGGCAGGCCCACCTGCGGGAAATCCCCGCTCCGCCCACGGGCAGGGGCCAGGGCAGTCCAGCCTCCCTGAGCCTCCACAGCCAGAGGGTCCCCACAGGGAGAGGTCAGGCGTCCAGGCAGCCTGGTGCTCCCCGTCTCCCACTGACAGAGGACGCTTTTTTTCTTGCCAAATGAAGACAAACTGTAGGCACTCGGCCTCGAGGCTGCCCTGGGAGGTGAAGGGGTGAGAGACGTCGATGCAGTGTGGCCACAGGCGTCTAGGGCGCCGACTGGACGGCTATGCCAAGGCAGAGGAAGCTGGAGGCAGCGTCGGCGGGGTTGCGCGTGAGGGCGGCTAACCCGCGAGAGTGGACGGGAGGGTTCTGGGACCATGGCTCGGGAGAGCTCGCCACGGGGGGCTCGGTCGTTGCAGTGCGGTCAGTCCTTACAGTGGGCTGGCGCAGGACCCCAGGCCACGGTCACCTTTCACCCCCTCCCGTGGACCCAAACACACACCTGGATTCTCTCCCCGGGTCGGGTCGTGGAGTCGCCACTCGTTTGTGCCACACCCCGCCAGGGACTGTGTTTCCAGCCTAGACGTGTTCCACACTGGGATGTAAAACCTCAAAACCTACTGACCGGTGACAAGGGAACAGCGAGACTGGCTGATCCGGGCCTTGCCAGGGCTGCCCGCGGGCGCCTGTACACGCGAGGCGGCACCACGGCCATGGCGCCCTGGTCGGCTCGCGGTTCCCCTCCAGCTGGCATCGGGACCGCAGGCGCCATGTCTGCGGAATTAGCAGCTAAGGAACCACTTTCCATGGAGATTCAGAAATCGCTCTGCTCTTCAGAACTCTCAGAGCTGTGGGCACCCAGCTACAAAGTGTGGCCAGGGCGGAACCGTCACAGGACCAAGAGCACATTCCCCAAGTGGAAACCAGAGGCCCAGCAGCCCAACTCAAAGACTCTGTGACAAACGATCGGATCCCATGCGTGAAAGCGTCAGCCTGCCATCCTGCCAAAATGCACTGAGTCATTCACATTTTAATGCTCTGGACAATCAGATTGGGGTGCAGCTTTCTGATAAAGAGTTTCCACGTACTGAATCAAGAACAGATACTTTTATTTTTACCATCAACTCTAAAAAAAGAACTGTAGGCTCCACGAGTGACATAAATCAGGGTGTGGTGAGCAGCACATCTCTATGGCTGGAGCCCCACACGCCTGGCCCCACAGATCGAGCATCTGCTCACGGTGACCCACGAGACACTGAAAACTACAGTCAGAATACACGCAGCCAACGTCCGGCGGGTGCGTCCAGGGCGGCTCACGCCTCTGCCCAGCCGAGCTCCCGTCTGCTCGCCGCCCACACAGCCACAGGCCTGGCCTCCCGCAGACCAGCTGCCACCACACATTCTCGTCGCAGACACGAAAACTATGTTTGCTGTTGTCTGGAAAGCAGCCCAGGTGTCACCACACCCACTGCTCTGTGGCGGCCCCACCCCACGCTGCTCGGAAGTGGGTCCCTGTGGCAAGGGCTAACCACACGGGCAGCTCAGGGCGGCCCCTCTGCCCATCCAGCCAGGGCCCCTACCCCGGCGGGGCCTTCAAATGTCTGAGCAGACCCGTGGGCCAGCGAGCTGTCCACCGAAGCACCCCAAGAAACAGCTCAGGGCCACCAGGAGGGGACTGGCAGGTGGAAGGGGTGGTTTGGCGGTTACATAGAGTCTGGACCCTCATTTAAACTCTCGCAGCGGGAGACCCTCCGTGCCCACATACTGGCCAAAGCACCGGGCACGACTGACGGTGGGCGGTGGGACAGCCACCAGGGTAGGACAATCTTGCCCAACAGCAGCCAACACTGGCCTGCTTTACTCCGGGCTCCTGGCTACCCCTCCTCCATCCCCAGCCCTGAGGCAGTGACCCAGAGATTGTGCCCTGACGTCCCTTCTCTACCTCAAACGCCCATTCCCACCTGGCCCTCACGGGCCTGACCAACTCTGCGCCCAGACCCCACTCCTGCTCTGCAGAGCGAGACCCGACCCACAGCCCCCGGGCCCCACGCAGGGCCTCTGGGTCTCTGCATGGGGGTGGGGGGTGGGGGGGTGCTATCCTGGCACCGTCTCCACACGTTATGCTGGAGCCCCGTGTTCTAACCAAGTCGCCCACCTCAAAAGCTTCGAGGGGAAGCCACCTGGCCACAAACGTTCCAAGTTAACGTTTCATGTGTTTTCTCCCACCAAAAAAAAAAATGAAGCAGGGAGAAAGAGACAACTACATTTTAAAGTAAGTTAAAGTGATTCTTGTCACAAGTATGTGCGTTTCCTCCGAGCCAGAAGCTGACGGGCGGCTCTGACAGCCCCCTCCCCAAGGGGCAGGCGCCCTGCTGCCCTCCCTGGTTTCCAGCGAAGCTCGGCCCGCAGTCTCAACCCTTCAGCTTCGAGGAAACGTCGAGACTTGCGCTATTTCCCACAGTGTGGCGAACGCCGCGGGCCCTGCTGTGGTTGGTGCCTTCTGCAGAGCGGCCCCGAGTTCTTGGAAGAGATGCGGAGATGACACGGGACTCCTGCGCACGTGGGGCCCACGACGAGGCACAGGCCTGACGCAAGCTGCAGAGGGGCAAAGGCCTGACCGGCGGCAGGGAGCTGGGGGG